TTCTTTAGTTTAATAAACATCAAAACCAGCCTCAGAGAGGATTTTTTTTTCTTTCTCCTAGAATTTTATCACTTCCTGGGACCAATAGTTGGCATAATGGCTATGTCGCTGGACTCCCATGTAGTCGACCATGGTTAGAGTCCTGGACCTGGTGGCTTAAATTCATGCTGGGCGCGTGTGCGTGCGTGCCCACAATCCCGGGAGGACAATGGAGGAGAAGGGATTGCGACATGGCCATCCCCCGGGGTGGGGGGGGATTTCTCACTTTCTGTCTCTGTCTTTCTGGTTTGCCAAGCGCACTTGCCCTATAGGGAGCTAAAAACCTCTCCCCCCACAAAAAAAAAAAAAAAAAATCTTACCACTTCCTAAGGGGAAGTCAGAGTGAAAAATGAGCGAGGTGCAGGGCCGCGTGGAGACTATGTCAACTGCGTTCTCTGGACTCCCCAGCCGGGCCCCTCAACTAAAACCAGCCCACATGTGGATCCAGTAAGGACCAGAGGACATGGAGCTTGGGGCCACCCACGACGGCCGGGCAGCTTGTAGACTGAGGTGGGTAGAGCTGACAAGGCCCCAGGGCCCGTCTCCGTGCCCAGCCTCTCAGCTCCTAGGGGCTCAGTGCTAGCACCCTCCCGATGTCAGCAGAGGTGGGCTCGTTGTAAAGCACTCAGAAAGCAGGGATGCGCAAAACAGAGGAAAGCCGTCGTCCATGGCCCACCACCCACAGGTAAGTCCTCCCAATATTTGGGGACTTGTTTTCCTACCAGGTTCAGTATGCAAATTTGTTTTGTATTTATTATTATAAAAATAGGATTACATATTTTTGGTAGTCTGTTTTTTTCCACTTACTTATCATGAGAACTTTTCCACATTATTAGAAATTTTTATAGAATGTAATGGCTACGTGGTATTTGATCATCTATATATCTATTTAACCGGTCTCCAAGTTATATCATTTATACTGACAGTTTTCCACCCTTATAGCCCACATCCTGTAGGCTTATTGCCATGAATATCTCCTTAGAATAAATGCCTAGAAGTCGAATTGCTGGGCCAAAGGGTTTACACATGTTTTAGGCTTTTGATGTGTATTGCCAAATTGCCCTCTGGGAGGCTGTACTAATTTACATTACCACCAACTGTGAATGCATGCTGCATGTTCCCAAACCCTGGCCAGCTGTGGGTATTATCATACTTTTAAATCTAAGCCAATATGATAGGTTTTTTTAAATATGTGCATAGATATATCTTGTTCTAATTTAGGATATGTTTTAATTAGAGGTACTGTGTAGCCCAGTGATTAAACCAGTTTTGATAAGATGGTTTGTGTGCTCCTGACACCTAGTGGTAAAGGTTGGAATTGCAGGTATACGTTTAGAAAATCTGCATTTGAGAGCTGATTCTTGACCTTTACTGAGGACAGGGATGACACTTTTTCTTTTTTTCTTTTTTTAGTATTTATTAATTTATTTCCATTTGTTGTTATTATCATTTTTTAATTTTGACTAGAGAGAGGCAGAGAGAGAGAGAAAGGGAAAGTGAGAAGGCAAGCCTCCAGATCTGGGACTTGAACCACAGTCGGCCACGTGGGAATCTAGCCCTCTTAACCACCACGCCACCCGCCGGCCCCAGGGATGACACCTCTTCTAAGCTTTGGTCCAGTAACAGCAGGTGGCATAGAATCGGCGGCACAGGGTTCATTCTAAGATGAGAGTCACGTGAATCACAGGTGAGGTCTGGGCATGGCACCCTTGTATTTTGGGACAGTAATTGACATTTATGTTGATGAAGCCATTCTGCCATCTTACAAAG